AGTTAAAAAAGAAATCTCCCTTTACTTCTCTTAGTTCTTTAAATCCCCCCCCCCCCCGATCTTTAATCTTGAATTACCATAATGAAGAATGTTGAACAGAACTCGTTCTTTCAAAGTTATTCCTGATATTTGGATAGCCTATAAAATACTCTATGACTCCCAACAAATATGTGTCTATTTCTCAAGCATTTCTTGGAAATCTATTTTTGTTCTTGACAAGCTAAAATTATTTCAACCTGTTCACTACACCCTTCATAAAACTTTTTAAGTTGTCTTTGGCAACCAACTGTTTTTTTTTACATCTAGTTTTAATCTTTGTAATAAGACCTTTTGTTAATTTCTTTATTTGAGAAGTAATGCTTTATATCCTTTTATGTAAATTAGTTAAAAATTATTTAAGATTATTTCAATTTAGCAATCGACCTTCCATATATACACGAGAAATCTTGTATGTGTAAAGAAGTCCATTATTTTAGACCTATTTTTTTAAAAATCATCAATTTAGACAGTCGAGTTGCAAAATTATATATATCTGCATACCATATAGGATCCAAATTTTAACCATTCCTATGCTAAGATTTGCTTGATTAAATGTTTTTAACCCAATATTCACCTTTTATCATGATGTTGCTTAAATTACAAATTTGGGAATGCTTCATGTTTTTATCCACCTTTAACAGTAAATCTTTCAATCATGGCCCTCTGATACTAAATACTCTAAATCTATTTATATCAAGCCCATAATTAACTTTAAATTAATTTTGAGTTAAGTAAAATGACTTGTATATCCATTTCCTAACTGAGAGTTACGATTCTACTTTTTAGCTTCTTCAATTATAATTTTTCAAAAATTGTTTTATACTGCAGTTTTTGCATAGCTTTTTGTAATCTCATTTCTTATTTAAAAAGGATATTGACTCAATTCACTCCTAGAAAATTTTCCTGTTGTTGCTGGCTCTATCAATTATATCTTATAAATTGGTGACGAAATCATTCTTTAATTCTTTATATCGTTTATATAATGCACTACAATTAATAAAATCTTCTCATGTTTAGTAAATCTAATTCATTGACTCCTACAATAGTATCACTTCAACTTTATTGTTTTTATTAGACAATTGGTAATTTTATCTCCAATGTTTGAATCAATGATTAAACTAATAATAATCAATGATTGTTAGTCTTGTTGAGGGCTGAATAGATAATGATATTTGTGATATTCTAGGAACTTTTTTTTAACTAAAATTTGGCTGGATAGACAGAATTTTAAATGGAATTTGATTTAGCTGGGATTTAAGGAAAAATACAGAAAGATGGGATACGTATGACAATAAAAATTTTATAGCTAGCGCAAATAATGGAAAGGGTGAATACGGTCAACTATTAGTTAATTGAAAAAAGTTATAGTTTTGAAGAATATCGAAGATAATTAATGAAGTAGTACAGAATAGCGTGCAAAAAAGTATAAGTTTAAATAAAAATTCATTATTCATAATTCAGTAATCATTTGATTAAGTTGAATAAAATAATTGTGATAAGCCAAAATTATGCTGGAAGAATTGTGACTTTGAAGTCAATACATAATTTTGACGGAATGGTGTTGTCTCTTGAGTTGGTAAACCTATTGTTTAAACTATACAGCATTCAAAATTCAGCCATTATTTATATGGTTGTCAAAAACGATATTTATATTTAATTTAAATCTACTTATCTTGGCGTAGTTTTTTGTCTGAATATAATTGGGCTGATATTTGAAGTTTTTTGTCAAACTTCATCAACAGGAAACCAAATATACTCTCATACATATAGTACTCGCCCAGTCTAAATACATTCTATGAAATTAGAGCTACATTTAGCAAGAAATAAGAATTAATGTTTGTATAACTTTAATAAGTTTCAAATCCATAATTTAATAGCTTGAATTAATACAGAAATTACCTGGACTTTGACTTATTCAGAAATGTAGTAAAGTGTTATATTTAATAAAACTTTATCAACGTGGTTATTAAAAATTGGTTAGAAAGAAAAGGAATAGAGATCTTTGAATTTGCTTGTTTACATCTACATCAAGGGTTTTCCTAATTTAAATATAAATCTAAAAGCGCAAGTCATTACCCCTTGTAAAATTTAAACCTAGTTGCAAATAAGCCGATCGATAAGTATGATACAATAATTCTAGTAATCTTCATTATGATTCATTTATACTCAGTAACTTAAGTTTGCGTTTTGGATTAGGTGAATCACTTGTCTAGGCTCTACATTTTAATCTATTTAATTTATAATTTGCATTTAAGAAACAAAGATTAAGCTGAAATGATGGCGATTTATTTATAAAAGTTCATTTTGACTTTAGGTTTATGAATACAATGTTAGTAATCTTAATTTTGATAACTATAAAGTACAATTTTCTTTATTACCTCAACTAAAAAAAGAATAGGTTTTGATTTTCTTAAATGAAGATTCTTCGAAAACTCTTCTTCTTTGATTAGATCTATTTTATCACCCATCACATTTACTAAAAATATAAGTCACTATAAATTGAACATTTATTTAGTTACTCAATTTTTTCTTTACGCTACTATTAAAATCGATCGTATAAAGTTAGTTATCGATGAAAAAGAAACAAAAATCTTGACTGCAATTTAATATCTAAAATACTATATGTTTCAATAATTACAATTTACAAGAAACCAATATTACATATTTATTCACACTGATACATTGAGTAAATTCTATAATTTAATTTAACTGATACACTAACCACTTTGCATTTCTCGCTAAAAATACTAAATTTTATTGTAGACTATGAATCTTCAAAAAATCCTAAAATACTTACTATTTTGTTTTATTTCATTCTATGATTACACTATTAGAAGATCTTTCCAGTCAAACCTTTCAATTCAAGATCCATGTAGAATCATTTATAAATTTGGCTCACTTAATGCAAATCATAGTAAGATATATTTTGCGAAAATGAAATCAAATTTGAAAGCAATTCAAGTAGGGCTGCAAATTAAGACTATCATTTATTAATAAAATAGGCAAAATCATAAGCATTTTGATGCAGTCATCAACTATATCTTTAAAGAGGCTATATTTGTTTTTGAATCCTTACACAAACTCTTTGTAACATATTCAAATGAATAAGAATAGGAACAGATATGAGGATTAATGAGATAAATAGCTTTTCAGTAGAGAAACCTAAATCAAATAATGAGTTATCAATAAGAATTTGATTTATACTTGATTAATTAATTAAATAAGTTTGAAGCTGTTCTTCACAAATAGGTTGTTGCTTGATTGATTTAAACAAATGGTTTCTTCTAACAATTGTGTCCAAAAACATAAGATTTCAGGTCAGCAGCTTCGTTGGCAACATAATTTTTGTTCAATCCAAATGCAACCTTGGTAGACACCAAATGATCAGAACTAGCATCGGATTTATAATTACTAAAGGTCATTTGAATTACAAAGTATGTGAATTAGTGATTCATTTAGAGTCATGTACAGAACTTTGATAGTCTAACCTATGTGAGCGATAGAGTTCGAATTGTTCTGGTGAAATAATATATTTCTCTTGTTTTAATATGTTCGATTAATCTATTTATTTTTAGTGTGAATAAATTATTAAGCCTATTGATTGAAGAAAAAAATTAATTAGAAATAAATAATGGAAGAAAAAGAATAATTATTGATATATTAAGATTATTCTAACTATGCTCGAAGAAAAAAATAAAAACATTTGAAGTTTAAAATTACAATAGGAGAGATGAAACTAATTAAAATTAGTACTTTCTTTTCTTGATAATTTCTACAACTGTAACAAATTGTGAATCAAGCTTAATTTAATAATAATTTTGATTTTGACGAAGATGATTAGTTTTATTTATTTAATCTGATTATATTCTCTTAATAATGATAAGGTGCCAAGTAATCTCAATGTTTCATTCAAATACTCCTGACTTTTTTCGAAGAACATAGTGAGAGATTATTCAATAGATATACTTTAAGACTAATGTTATTATAAACATTATAATTCTTAAAAAGATATTCAAATGGTTATCATCAAATTATGCCATATGACCTCAGAATTTTATTCCTTATCTTACTAAAATATCTAGGCTTGATCATTATTTTCAAAGAGTCTAAAATTATTTTTATTTTATAGTATTGATTTATATAGGAATCTTTAAGAAATTAAAAGTTTAGAGTTGGCAAAATCTTATTATTTCAGCCCTTAAACTTTTGTCTTCATTTGTAGGAGACTTAAGCGATTCTATTACAACAATGGTAACTAAATTTATAAATTCTTAAATTCAATTAAATGAAATTGAATAAAGTGGGATTCATTGGAAATCAGAACTCTTTCTTATTCATAAGAAAATAAACTCTTTGCTCTTAATCTAATTACTTAGGAGAAATTACAATTTTATAAATTATCATAACATTTAATTGAAAAAGGATTATGGTAGCTGCCTATCAGGTGTGGCATCTAATATCTATAAATTCTATTTACATTAAGTCATGCTTCATTTGAACATCAAAGCCTTTTACATAAGTTAAAGAGCTTAATTATTTTAAATTTTCAAAAAAGAGGCCATCGAGCAAATACTTTTCGGATTAGGCTAATTAATTTGAATCTTGAACTGTGATTTATATCATCCTCAAGCAAACTTTATTGCGATAGTTATCTCTATGTTTTGGCATTTTTTTATCAGCTGAATAGAAATAACTCATCTTTCATTAAATTATTCAAGTGGATGTAGAAGTTGGTTTTTTATCTTCAAAGTGTAATTTCCTAAAGTTAAAATTACACAATTTTTTTTTTCTTTTAATCAATTCAAAATTTTCAAATTTATTAAGGCAGTACTAAAACCTTAATTTAGCAAGATTCAAGCTTGATTTGACCTAACTTTGAATGTGACTTATTTATCTTGTGTCTGATTAATAAATATTGGTCACCAGCAAATATATTATTTGAAAAAGAATATTATTTCCTAATTTCAAATTTATTCTTTGAGTCTTATCAAAGATATGTAAAGTCAAAGAAATTTGTATTATCAAGTTACTTGGCTTTACTTTAATCAATTGAAGATAATATTNGAAACTAATTAAAATTAGTACTTTCTTTTCTTGATAATTTCTACAACTGTAACAAATTGTGAATCAAGCTTAATTTAATAATAATTTTGATTTTGACGAAGATGATTAGTTTTATTTATTTAATCTGATTATATTCTCTTAATAATGATAAGGTGCCAAGTAATCTCAATGTTTCATTCAAATACTCCTGACTTTTTTCGAAGAACATAGTGAGAGATTATTCAATAGATATACTTTAAGACTAATGTTATTATAAACATTATAATTCTTAAAAAGATATTCAAATGGTTATCATCAAATTATGCCATATGACCTCAGAATTTTATTCCTTATCTTACTAAAATATCTAGGCTTGATCATTATTTTCAAAGAGTCTAAAATTATTTTTATTTTATAGTATTGATTTATATAGGAATCTTTAAGAAATTAAAAGTTTAGAGTTGGCAAAATCTTATTATTTCAGCCCTTAAACTTTTGTCTTCATTTGTAGGAGACTTAAGCGATTCTATTACAACAATGGTAACTAAATTTATAAATTCTTAAATTCAATTAAATGAAATTGAATAAAGTGGGATTCATTGGAAATCAGAACTCTTTCTTATTCATAAGAAAATAAACTCTTTGCTCTTAATCTAATTACTTAGGAGAAATTACAATTTTATAAATTATCATAACATTTAATTGAAAAAGGATTATGGTAGCTGCCTATCAGGTGTGGCATCTAATATCTATAAATTCTATTTACATTAAGTCATGCTTCATTTGAACATCAAAGCCTTTTACATAAGTTAAAGAGCTTAATTATTTTAAATTTTCAAAAAAGAGGCCATCGAGCAAATACTTTTCGGATTAGGCTAATTAATTTGAATCTTGAACTGTGATTTATATCATCCTCAAGCAAACTTTATTGCGATAGTTATCTCTATGTTTTGGCATTTTTTTATCAGCTGAATAGAAATAACTCATCTTTCATTAAATTATTCAAGTGGATGTAGAAGTTGGTTTTTTATCTTCAAAGTGTAATTTCCTAAAGTTAAAATTACACAATTTTTTTTTTCTTTTAATCAATTCAAAATTTTCAAATTTATTAAGGCAGTACTAAAACCTTAATTTAGCAAGATTCAAGCTTGATTTGACCTAACTTTGAATGTGACTTATTTATCTTGTGTCTGATTAATAAATATTGGTCACCAGCAAATATATTATTTGAAAAAGAATATTATTTCCTAATTTCAAATTTATTCTTTGAGTCTTATCAAAGATATGTAAAGTCAAAGAAATTTGTATTATCAAGTTACTTGGCTTTACTTTAATCAATTGAAGATAATATTTATTTTAAGTAAGTTATTTCTGATTTATAATGTTCTCTTCCCAATTCTATTTGGAGCTTTATATATGGGAAATTGAACTTGAAGCACTCCAAAATATCATTTTATTTATTTAATACAACTTATCTAATTTTTTTAAGCTCAATTTAGTTGCATATATTGTAAGAGTATTCAACATTAACTTTAATTTTTCTAAATTCTAATTTAATCCCATCATTATTAGTTGTTCATCTGATTAGAGCAGCTTCAAGGATTTTTGGGTTATACCATTTCTTCAATTTATATTCATTCAACTCCTAACGCTAAAATGCAACAATTTTCCAGTTAATATCAATGATCTTATGTTAAATAAATCTGTTTGAATAACCAACTTTCAAGAAGCAATAAATCTAAATAACTTTCTACTTTGTAATTTATTCTCTAAAATAGTTAGAATAATCAACCTTGATAAAATCAATTAGATTGCTTTTATTAGTAATTTCTTGGAAAATCAAAATAGCTTTTAATTTTGTTCATGATATTTCTTCAAATTATAATCTTTTCAATTTATGTTCGAAGATCAAAAAGCTTAAGGAAGAATTTAAAGTGTTGATTTGATGTATTATAAAAAAAATTGTGACATTTCTAAGTAACAGAATTTTTGTCAGAAGGATATTGAAAGGAAGAAAATTATCGCCATGAATAATATTATTACTAAAATTTAGATCCTATGACCCCAGATTCTCTATTCTTGTTGGTTTTGATGTATGTGTTACAGAATTTTATCCTATTTTCTTCAATTTCAAATATTGACTCTAATCCAATATATTCTCAATTGAAGACAAAAAGAAATTTTATCCCAGGTTATTAAATGTTTGAAATCTTTGCTTATTGCTCCACAAATAAACCTCAAATGATTGGTCTGTAAGGATTTATTAAATAACTTACTCGATATTGAATTCTCTTTTCTGCAGTCTTTACTAATTGTTATAAATATTTCTTTGTTAATTGGATGTGACAAAATAAGATTAATTGAATCCATATGACTTGTTAATTTTATGATGTATTTAGGATTTGACATCGTATGACTAGATATTAATGCAATCTATATCTCATGAGGGCAGGATAAGAAAAACGATTGTTTTTACATTAGTTTTAGATTAAACAAAATCTTTATGGTTGAAAAGTAGATTTAATTTTTAAAAGATCCATTCTTTGATATCAAATTTATGATCTGCCAAAAGTAAATTAAAGTTTTCAAATATTACAATAGCTTCGCGCCTTTAATCTTAAAATTGGTATTATTTTCAATATTAATAATTTTCCTTCTCAAAGCTTTGATTGATTGAGAACATAATAAAAATGAAAGTAATAAAAAAAGGCAATTCCAATTACATTATTATGTAATTAATTATTAATTCTGAAATGAAATTGCAATTAAGAATTAAGATTTCTACAATTCTTTAAAAGAAAGCATGCTTTTTGTAATTTATTACTATAATTGAATTATTATAAAATAATTAAATTAGTAGAATTTATTTTATGCACCAAAACAATATTGTTTTTTATCGAATGATTAAATTAACAGGTTTGAGAGATGAAAACAAAAACATCAAACGTGTTCTAAAATCATTCTTAGATTAAATTTCCATGATATTTACTCCCTTAGGTGATGATTATTATTTCAATTAAACTACAAGATGTTTTAATACCTTTAAACAAATCCCTATTAGTAAAAAAGGAGTTTATCAAAATGGATCAGAATCACATTTATTATTCCCCCTAAATATTAGGAAAAACCAAATTATCACATCCGAAATTTTTGAGCTTTTAAAAAGTTGTATTTTTAATTTTTAAAACTATCTTTTTTATGATTAATAATCTTTGATGATCATTATTAACCTATTCAGTATTAAATAACACGGGATCAATTATAATCTTAGCTTTAATATTGAATATTTAATAAAATATAAAAATAATTATTAAGTTGTTCGGAGACTGACTTAATATGGATTAATGAAAAAGACTAGGTAATGGGCTATTTCCTCTACTTATTCAAATATCTGGATACGTTAATAGTTTCTCGAACTGCAATCCTTATAATATGCATTTACACAACCATGAAGACTTAAACTTACAATTTATAACTAATATAAATTTATTAAAAAATTAATTGAAAAAGTTTCTTTTCACTTTATTCAATGATAATCATTTAATATAAACCATCCTATATGGTTTGAATTTTTTCAAACTGATTCAATAGCTGAAACAAAGGAAACAGATTATTTATCCTAAAGAAAAACTTATTTTATTGTTTTTTTCAGTTTATAACATAGAATTCACAACTTAATTAATTATATTAATTTATTTAAATAATGTCATCTTCATCTCAAAAGAAAATATGTTCCATCCACAAATTGGAAATAACTACAATCGATCTTAGCAAATCAATTATGAATCAAAATAAATATTTGTGTACAAAATGTCTAATATAGAAAATATCAACCAAGAACATGGTTTTAGTTAATGAAGCAGAAGAAATGATAAAAGAAATGGAGAACACGTAAAAAAGCATAAAACACTAAGAAGTACTACAAAGAGTAGAAAATTACCGATTAATTCAATAACTGTTAAGAAAATGTTAGGAATAGTTTTTAACAGTCATAGAACAAATCATACTAAATTTAGAAGATAAAATACAATCAATAAATGAGGAATTACAATAATTTTCATCTAAGCAGAATGAATAAAATTTTGAAGACAAAATTGACCTTCTATCATAAAATTATTAAGGGAATCATTTTTATAAAGCTGCATAGTAATTCAAGCTCATAGAATACGAAAACTAATTTTTTAATACTATTAAATCACAATTATTGTCTTTCAATAATAATCAATCGTATACTCAACTTATGAATTCGTTATCCGAAACGATAATTGATGAAAAAATCAAAGATGAAGCTGTTTAAAAAATCCAATCCATCTAAACAGTTGAAAATGATGTAAATTTCTTTCAAAATTAATCATAGTAAACTCCTAGTTTAAATATAAAATGTAATAAACATGGAAAAAAGATTATTTTACTCAATTTAGATACTAATTAAACCTCTCATTCTAGGAAAGTTTGTATTGATTGTATTTGTGAGAACGATCCGATCTATTATACCTCTTTACACGAGGCTGAGAAAAGATGGAAAGAATACCAAGTATAAACTTAGATTTCAATCAAAGAATATATTAATCATAAAAAATTTTAATAATAACAAATACTTATAATACTTGATGATATTAAAGATAAATATACAACTTATTTGCATGAATAAATTAATAAGTTGAAAAGTTTGGAATCTAAATTAAATAAACTGGAAAATGATAATATTATGGAAGACTCCATATATGATTTAGACGAGGATTAAATTGATGAAATTGTTAGAACTTTAAGCTAAATTGACCTCGATACAGTTTTAGTTGAATAGTAGAATAACTAATAAGTTTAAGATTAGATACTTTATTAAACTATTGCTAAGGATATTTATAAACATATTCATTATGATTTGTAGGCTTCTAAAGCTATAGTCAATATTTCAAAATCTGATTCTTCCTAATAGCAATCATGTATTAATTATTAATTATCCTAGATTACAAACCCCCAGAAGCCATAATAAATAACTAAACATATTCAAAGGACTAAGAAGAAGAATTATTTACAGATGAAGATTTTTCTGATTTTGATGAATACATTTGCAAAATTCAAACCCAACTCTGCATAATTGAAAAAAATCGATTAAATTGAAAAAGAATTAAAATCGAAACAATTAGAATTAGAATAAATTTAATTTGAAAAAAAAACTGCTGATCAAAATCAAAAATAAAAATTGATGGAATTGAAAAAGATTAGCGATGGCTATGCTGAAGAAATTGTAAATCTGAAAATACAAAAATAAGAAATCTAAGAAAATTTAAATTAAAATAAGAGTAAAAGTATAATTATCAAAATTAAATTTATTAGCAGATTCAAAAATACAAATACTAGAATAATAATTAAAAGAATTAAAAGAAAAAATAGAAGAAGGTGAAAGAAGTAAAATTGAAAATTTCTAAAAATTTCTACAATATTCAAATATATATAAAAGTAATAATTGCTCAATTAGTGATGGTGGAAAAATTGCAGAATGTGGTTCTAATCCTGGTTTTTGCATTTGCGAACAGATGATACCGAAATTTGGAATAACTAAGTTTGCATTTTAAGTGATTGAAAAGTCAGGTTGGTTATTTTTTGGTATCGGAATAAGAGAAATNATCATTTTTATAAAGCTGCATAGTAATTCAAGCTCATAGAATACGAAAACTAATTTTTTAATACTATTAAATCACAATTATTGTCTTTCAATAATAATCAATCGTATACTCAACTTATGAATTCGTTATCCGAAACGATAATTGATGAAAAAATCAAAGATGAAGCTGTTTAAAAAATCCAATCCATCTAAACAGTTGAAAATGATGTAAATTTCTTTCAAAATTAATCATAGTAAACTCCTAGTTTAAATATAAAATGTAATAAACATGGAAAAAAGATTATTTTACTCAATTTAGATACTAATTAAACCTCTCATTCTAGGAAAGTTTGTATTGATTGTATTTGTGAGAACGATCCGATCTATTATACCTCTTTACACGAGGCTGAGAAAAGATGGAAAGAATACCAAGTATAAACTTAGATTTCAATCAAAGAATATATTAATCATAAAAAATTTTAATAATAACAAATACTTATAATACTTGATGATATTAAAGATAAATATACAACTTATTTGCATGAATAAATTAATAAGTTGAAAAGTTTGGAATCTAAATTAAATAAACTGGAAAATGATAATATTATGGAAGACTCCATATATGATTTAGACGAGGATTAAATTGATGAAATTGTTAGAACTTTAAGCTAAATTGACCTCGATACAGTTTTAGTTGAATAGTAGAATAACTAATAAGTTTAAGATTAGATACTTTATTAAACTATTGCTAAGGATATTTATAAACATATTCATTATGATTTGTAGGCTTCTAAAGCTATAGTCAATATTTCAAAATCTGATTCTTCCTAATAGCAATCATGTATTAATTATTAATTATCCTAGATTACAAACCCCCAGAAGCCATAATAAATAACTAAACATATTCAAAGGACTAAGAAGAAGAATTATTTACAGATGAAGATTTTTCTGATTTTGATGAATACATTTGCAAAATTCAAACCCAACTCTGCATAATTGAAAAAAATCGATTAAATTGAAAAAGAATTAAAATCGAAACAATTAGAATTAGAATAAATTTAATTTGAAAAAAAAACTGCTGATCAAAATCAAAAATAAAAATTGATGGAATTGAAAAAGATTAGCGATGGCTATGCTGAAGAAATTGTAAATCTGAAAATACAAAAATAAGAAATCTAAGAAAATTTAAATTAAAATAAGAGTAAAAGTATAATTATCAAAATTAAATTTATTAGCAGATTCAAAAATACAAATACTAGAATAATAATTAAAAGAATTAAAAGAAAAAATAGAAGAAGGTGAAAGAAGTAAAATTGAAAATTTCTAAAAATTTCTACAATATTCAAATATATATAAAAGTAATAATTGCTCAATTAGTGATGGTGGAAAAATTGCAGAATGTGGTTCTAATCCTGGTTTTTGCATTTGCGAACAGATGATACCGAAATTTGGAATAACTAAGTTTGCATTTTAAGTGATTGAAAAGTCAGGTTGGTTATTTTTTGGTATCGGAATAAGAGAAATAATAAAATAAAAAGGATTTGGATCTAATTACAGGTTAAATTGTGGGTAAAAATTATGATTAATTTAGTGTATACTTAATAGCTCATGATGGAAATGTTTTTTCAGATCATGATTCTTAAATTGGTGGTCAGAGGCGTTCCTTTTAATTTGGATAGAATGATAGTATTATTGTTGAAGTTAATATGGATTTGAAAAAGATTAAGTGGATCAAATTATAATCCAATGAATCATGTGTAAACTTTGATTTTGATATTAGATGATTGATGTTGATACATCTAAAGAATTATATCCATGTGCTCTCCTTTATCCGATATCCAAAATCAGGATATTGAATGAAATTCCAAAATGATTTATTAAATTATCAAAAATTATTGTAATTTTAAAGTTTTAATTTTCATATATCTAATGAAATATCACTCTTTTATTTACAGTTGTTAGGATGAATGGCTTCTTATTATTTATTATCAATTTAGAGCGGCCGAGAATAATCTACATTGGAAAGCTTATTGGTTGAATATATTTATAAAGTTTTATTAAAATAAAATCCTACAATTTTTAATTACTTACTTATGAGGATAAATTCAAGATATACTGGTAAAATTTTTGGGATAATTATCTTTTTTTTTTACTTTACAATGTTTTATTTGATTTGATGTTACATTTATTTAAATTGATATCTGAATTGTCTAGAATTTGTATTATATAAATATTCAATGCTCATTGAATTTTCTCAGATCTTCCTTTTCACACTCAATTTGATTGATGAAATTCTCCTGTAAAATATAGTTATTTTTTATTATAAAAAGAATTAATATATTAGACTAAGATTCTTTTGTTACAAATGGATATGATGCGCATTTGAAGATGTTAAAACCACAAAATATCTTGTGTATTCCAATTTTCTTTGGCCTGAAGACTGAAGAACGCTAGATTATTTTTCATTAAAAAAGTAATAAATGATTAACAATTCTACTGTGATATAGAATGCAGAAAAAATATGACCGAGTAGAATTTTTTTTCATAGCTATCAAAATTTAAGGTTATTTTCATGTAGATTTTTAGTTTAGATCCTGCCTACAAGCCGTTTAATTCTCAAAGTGAATTATATTATTAATCTTTCTTCACTAATTAATGTTTTAATGAAAATGATTTATTGAAGAGATACATAAATGCCAACTTTAATATTATATAATGAAATCCTGATTAAGATGTATATTTTATTGTGTAAATTATTCTTAAAATATACCTGAACTATTAATTTAAAAAAGTATGAAACACTATTTTATGCTTAGAGAAAGTTTACATTCTCTTTAAATTTTATAATTTTGTTATTATATCATTAAGTAATTGAATATCCTTCATTCTTTATAGTTATCTCTGCTCCTTAGTTATGTAACTTAATTTTTTTCAAATTTAGAAGGGTACCATCCATGTAGAAAATAGAACTACAGATTTAATGCCTCTATTCTATCTGAATAACTAAATTTACTGTAAGAGTTTAAAAATATATAAATATTCCTTTTGCTAAAAGTGTGATTTCTTAAACATCAGAAATTAAAACAATAAAGTTTCTGCAAACTTTTTGTTGTTATTAGCATTTTTCCATTCTATTCATCAATAGATTTTGAAAGAAGAGTAAATAAATCAAAGCTATCAAGAACACAAAGTTTGATTCATTTATATTGAAAATAGTAGATGAGAATACCAACAAAACCCAAACCTAAATTAAATAGATTGAAGAGTTTATCATTAATTATTAATAAACCTTAAAAAGAATTTATTAAGAGAAGCTGATTGTCTAGGGTAAAGTGTGTAAATATATTTTGAAACATGGATTTTGCAGTTATATAGTTTGGAGAAATGGATGAAGATAAGTATGCTTTTATTATTAGATGAATTCCGCTTAACAATATATATAATTTTCCATAGCTAGGCTTAGAGACATGAACCTAGACATTGATTTACAGTAATTTCAATTAAATTATGTGATTGGGCTTTCTCATAAGATTAACGCAATTATTAGATTAAGCAAAACTCATCTTAAATTGGTTTTGTTACAAAATTCTAATGCAAAAATTGTTGGAGAAGGTGCATAGGGATTTTGTAGAACATAAGAAGGAAGCGATATTTCTTATTAAATGTGTGTAATCTTTTATACATTATAAATTGTAAAAATAAAGGTGGATTGCACTAAAGCTAAACCTTTATCCATTTTTCTTTGATATTTACTTTGATAATATTAATAATTAGAAAAAGGGACAAGAGAAAACGAGTCTAAGTTTAGTAGAGGTATCGGAGATTCCAATTTAACTAGATAGTATGGTTATGGTGAAAAGAAATTTAATTGTTGCGATAATTACATAGAGTTTAATAAGTATAACTACGAAATACAACATTTATGCTAAAACAAAATAAATATTATTTATAAGGGAATATCAAATACAGATTTAAGAAATTACTAATCCATTCAGAAGGATTATAAATATTTTGGAATTTAGATAAATAATAGGGTACATTAGGAGACACCTAATAATATCAGATTGATAATTAGATATAAATCAGCTTAATTGTTTATTGTTTCAAAATACTTCAAAAACAATTTGCTTCAAAGCATCGAAAACTCTTTCTGTCTTTTCAACTATAACAGATAGAGCTAATTTAATTTATTAAATGGAGGTAGTTAAGCAACCTTCTATAAATTAAGATTATGTTAAGTAAATGATGATTTAGGTAAAAAGGTTAAATTTAAGAGGCTTATTAGAATTTAATATAAATTCATTTTATTTTATCTAAATTGTACATAAGTCTTTTTGTTTGAACTCATTAAATATCAAATAAATCAGAAAAAATTTTAAACTCTAATTTAAGCTATCAGTTTGAGATTTTCTAAATATCATTTCATAATGGAGATGCAAAAGGTCTAATAGCGCGAAACAGATTTAATCTAAAATAGTCTGAGTTCTCGTATCAGGTAATAACATAAATAGATTTGAGATAAAGTTCTGATAAAGAGTAAGGAGTGCTAAAATTATGTTCTAAGTAAAGTAAAAATTATTATTACATGATATAGGTAGAGGGTCGAAATATTAAAATAGGATGATTGAAAATAAAGTTCTGAATGTGAAAAATATTTGCAAAAAGAAATTCTTAGAATTTAGAGCACGCAGCATAGATTCCAATAAATTAAGAAGGGCAAATCCTTAACTTTCTCAGCCTTACATAATAAGAAAATATTGCGAAAAGGCAATGTGAAAATGAGCAGAGAAAAAATGAGGAGATATGTTATCAAATTTAATCGAGGGCTAATACCTGGTTAATAAACTAAATTTTACTTTGATTAGTAAAATAAAACTCTATAATTTGACTTTTTCAATCAACGATAGAAGGACTATACAATTAATACTTCCATTAATTAGATTAGAAGTTAAGACGTTTATCTGATGAAAGTTTGCATATTTTAGAATCTGTAGCTAAACTTGCATCTGAGATTCTGAGCTAAACTCTAAAATATAACTCTAAAATATATATATATTTTATTAACTTGATATTTTTTGGAGTCTCCAAATGAACCTGGAGTATAATTAAGATAATTATTGATTATTAAAAAACTCAGGAGAAGCATTTCCATAAAGATATTGTGGTTCTCCATGGATTTTCAATGGCTGATCGTTTAACTCAGAAGAATGAGCGAATTAAAAGCCGCTCGATTGTAAGTTATTTATAGAGGTNAATTATTAGATTAAGCAAAACTCATCTTAAATTGGTTTTGTTACAAAATTCTAATGCAAAAATTGTTGGAGAAGGTGCATAGGGATTTTGTAGAACATAAGAAGGAAGCGATATTTCTTATTAAATGTGTGTAATCTTTTATACATTATAAATTGTAAAAATAAAGGTGGATTGCACTAAAGCTAAACCTTTATCCATTTTTCTTTGATATTTACTTTGATAATATTAATAATTAGAAAAAGGGACAAGAGAAAACGAGTCTAAGTTTAGTAGAGGTATCGGAGATTCCAATTTAACTAGATAGTATGGTTATGGTGAAAAGAAATTTAATTGTTGCGATAATTACATAGAGTTTAATAAGTATAACTACGAAATACAACATTTATGCTAAAACAAAATAAATATTATTTATAAGGGAATATCAAATACAGATTTAAGAAATTACTAATCCATTCAGAAGGATTATAAATATTTTGGAATTTAGATAAATAATAGGGTACATTAGGAGACACCTAATAATATCAGATTGATAATTAGATATAAATCAGCTTAATTGTTTATTGTTTCAAAATACTTCAAAAACAATTTGCTTCAAAGCATCGAAAACTCTTTCTGTCTTTTCAACTATAACAGATAGAGCTAATTTAATTTATTAAATGGAGGTAGTTAAGCAACCTTCTATAAATTAAGATTATGTTAAGTAAATGATGATTTAGGTAAAAAGGTTAAATTTAAGAGGCTTATTAGAATTTAATATAAATTCATTTTATTTTATCTAAATTGTACATAAGTCTTTTTGTTTGAACTCATTAAATATCAAATAAATCAGAAAAAATTTTAAACTCTAATTTAAGCTATCAGTTTGAGATTTTCTAAATATCATTTCATAATGGAGATGCAAAAGGTCTAATAGCGCGAAACAGATTTAATCTAAAATAGTCTGAGTTCTCGTATCAGGTAATAACATAAATAGATTTGAGATAAAGTTCTGATAAAGAGTAAGGAGTGCTAAAATTATGTTCTAAGTAAAGTAAAAATTATTATTACATGATATAGGTAGAGGGTCGAAATATTAAAATAGGATGATTGAAAATAAAGTTCTGAATGTGAAAAATATTTGCAAAAAGAAATTCTTAGAATTTAGAGCACGCAGCATAGATTCCAATAAATTAAGAAGGGCAAATCCTTAACTTTCTCAGCCTTACATAATAAGAAAATATTGCGAAAAGGCAATGTGAAAATGAGCAGAGAAAAAATGAGGAGATATGTTATCAAATTTAATCGAGGGCTAATACCTGGTTAATAAACTAAATTTTACTTTGATTAGTAAAATAAAACTCTATAATTTGACTTTTTCAATCAACGATAGAAGGACTATACAATTAATACTTCCATTAATTAGATTAGAAGTTAAGACGTTTATCTGATGAAAGTTTGCATATTTTAGAATCTGTAGCTAAACTTGCATCTGAGATTCTGAGCTAAACTCTAAAATATAACTCTAAAATATATATATATTTTATTAACTTGATATTTTTTGGAGTCTCCAAATGAACCTGGAGTATAATTAAGATAATTATTGATTATTAAAAAACTCAGGAGAAGCATTTCCATAAAGATATTGTGGTTCTCCATGGATTTTCAATGGCTGATCGTTTAACTCAGAAGAATGAGCGAATTAAAAGCCGCTCGATTGTAAGTTATTTATAGAGGTTGTCAAATTATTAGTACTGCCTAAATTAAAATTGGTCTTCCCTGTGAGAAATGGTTGGATTCGCTTCTCTCCCCTTAATGTAGAGTTTACATATTGGAAGGACTATATATTTTTTAAGGTTATTAATAACGCCTAAAGTATGTTTACTAGCTGAGAATGGTTTAAAAGATTACTTTTAGCTCTAAGGTGAGTTAAATTTATAGAATCTGTCAAATTGTTACAAGCTGAGATGAGGCTTTCCTAGATATAAAAGAATTGCCCTTTCTGAGCTTCTTTTTATTGAACAATCGGATTAATTAAATGATAATTCTTAATATTACTGATAAACCTTTCAAATTCTTAGAGACATTGCAAATATATTATTCCTTAAATATTAAATATATTATGTATTGATTACTTAGTCTGTAGAGAACATCCCTTTTCACTGGTGCATTGTAATTTGAGTCGTTGTCCCATAATATAAGATATAAACAAAATTTAGATAATTTAATGAAAGTAGAATCAGGTTTGACATGAAATATTTAAATTCTTTTACAATTATCCAAACTTGTAATGGTTAAAGATAAATTGATATTGTACAATGAAACTTAAACTTCCAATATATATGGTTGCTTGTGATAAAAAAGAGGGAAGAAATAAAGACTTTTATGCACTGAATGCACTGATAATTTAGAATCTAATCTAAATAATGTAATGAGCTTTAAAAAAGTTGCTTAAATAATTGAAGAAAATTAAAAGAAGAAAGTAGAATCAGTCGAATAACATATTATGATGAATATCAACAAGATCAATGCACTTTAGGAAACATTATATTTATTAAAACAAAGATTATTTAATAAATAGATTAACTAATTAGTAATACAAAAGAATGGATCAAATGTTTATAAGAAATTGGATAAGAAAATGCCAATTACAGTTTTATCGAATAATTGGGTAATTTAATTAATCAAATTTAAGTTGGAAAATTTGATTGCACACCATTAAATACCTAAATTAACACAATTAATCACTCTTGGAATCAAAAAAACACATAAAAAGTTGACTGATTTGAATTGACAAAAAAGTGTGAAGAATTATTAATAAATTTAACTACTACTATTTAACAATCCACCACTTATGAATTAATCTACAATCATTCAATTAGATAAAGTGAATGATGTCAAGCAATTGCTATAAGAAAGATAATTCAATTGTATTTGCTGGATGTGATAATGAGATCAAAGTGTTTGGATTTAAACAAGAATAGTTGAAACTAATTCAACTTCTAATTGAACATACAAATAAAATTACAACTTTAAATTTATGAAGAAATCGATTCAATTTATATCGGGGAGTGCAGATAAATAGATTATTATATGGTGTATGGATTAACAGAGTTAATGGATCTGCTAATACTAATTGAATCAACATTAAAGTTGGATTAATTGCTTATTATTGAATAATAATGAAGATCTT